TTTGATTTTGAAGACACTTGACGTTGGATCAAGTTATTTTTGTTCTTTTGGAAAATTTTATTTTTCTCGTTTTTTAGTTATGTTAAGTTAACGAACAAGTAAAGGAAAGTGATAAAAAAACAAAAAATGCTAAGACTATTACACGTTCATGGGGATTGGGAAAAGTTTACCCACAATAGAGGGATGAATCATAAACCATGCAAGAACTGGAAAAAAATCCATACAAGCATACAAACCATACAACCATTAATCATGCACAAAATTAAGAGTAAAGGCAAAGGAGTTAAATTCTAATGAGATTTAATTAAAAATCAATTCTAAGATCAATCCTAATTATTCGAAATTAGAAATAAAATTCTAACAAAATTAATCCAATTAAATAAAATTAGAAAATAAATTGGCACAACTATTGTTTAGTCCTTTAAGTTATTTTAAAATATCAAGCTAGTCCCTTAAGTTTTTTTGTAACACTTTAGTTCCTTTTTAAAAATCCCCGTTGCAATAAATTGCAAACTCATATACCATTTAAACTGGTTTTTTGCACTGATCACGAATATGCAATCAAATTTATCAAACAAGTTACGGTTCATGAGAATCAGATAAAAATGGACGAAATACATAATGAAAAATCAACGATCCGACCAAAATACACAATCAAACGCAAAACTAATTACATGTTCGTGATCAGCGCGAAAAATCAGTTCAAATGGTATATGAGTTTGTAATTTATTTTAACGGAGATTTTAAAAAAAAGGACCAAAGCGTTACAAAAAAAACTTAAGGGACTAAATTGATGTTTTAAAATAAATTAAAGGACCTAGACAATAGTTTTGCCAAATAAATTCTACCAAGATTAATCCAATTAAAATGTGCATTTTTAATATTGGCAAAAAAATTGACTAAAAGAAAAAAAATAGTAATAATAATTAAAAATATATATTCAAAAGGGGTGGTAAAAAATAAAAAAGGAAGTTTGCAAAGAAAATGGGGCGCATACCCATATACAAAGCCCAACGTCCTGTTTTATAGTTTTTAAATTGAAAAAAAAAAGAATGGGGGTGCATGTTTTGATTATGGGCGCGCAACAAGGAAAGGGCCCAGAGGGCGCTGCAAAAAACAGGGCCCAATTCTGGACAAAAAATGTGGTCAACATCAGAAAAAATCAAGTAAATGTGGAAAATGATCTAGGACGTAGGATGATTGCATGCTCGATCTGATGGTTGTTATCCACGAAAGCATGATACATGTGTTGTGTTAGATCATTGCATTTTCTTCCTTTTGTGCATTTGTCTTATTTTCCATGCATATCCAAACATGATGCGCCATATGGCGCAGAGAGAAAGGGAAGAAAGAGAAGATTTCTGCCATAGACACTTGGCATACATGCGCGTTCTGAATTTCATACACATTTGTTCATTTATTAAACACACACATTCTTGAACTTTAATCTACAAAAAATATTTAAATAAAAAATTAATATGTAAATTATATATCAACGGACTCAATTTTTCGTGAGGAATCTAAATATGCGATCAAATTTTACAAATGAGACAAAAAATTTGAAGAATCTGAAGAAAAGGTGAAAAACAAAGTGTACAAAGAATTAATCGATTCACATTTGTTATAATGATTCGTGAAAAAGTAATCACATATTCAGAATTGTGACGAAAAAACGTTTCTAATGATATATTCACATGTAATTAACGGTTAAGAATTAAAAAATCACTATTTTCTAGTTTGTGTTTCATGCAAAAATAAGTGATTATCTAATAAGTAATTCCAAAATAGTAGGTTAAGCTAAATCAACCAGTAAACATATAATAATTCATGGTAAGAATAAGGAAGAGATAAGGGATTACTGACGGAGTGGAGGTTGGCTCTGGTTATTGTTGAAAATCGAAGTGTCGAAGTGAAATATAAAAACAAATCAAGAATAAGCTCCTTTAATCCAATTAACTTCCAAGACTTGATGAATATCTTTTATGATGGATGAACGTAGAAGATGACTCTTGAATATAGAATCTTGAGGAATAGGCTTGAATTGATGAACTTTGGGTGATGATTATTGACGAAACTTGATAAACTTTAGATGATGATTATTGATGAAACTTTATAAACTTTAGATGATAATTATTATTGAAGTTGGATTGTGGCTAAGTTCCACCATTTTAGAACTTCAATGAGAAGTTCTAAATGGTGATGAAGATGAACTTTGGTGAGGGTGAGGGAGAAGATGAATTGAGATAGAACTTGAGAAGAAAAAATGGTGGAAAAATAATGGTTAATTGTGATTTTTCTAAGTTAAGTTAGTCATGTTAGTGATCTTTCCGGTTGATCAGAACCTGAAGTGGGTCAGAGACTTCATCTTCAATGCTAGAATCCAAGGAGGATGGCGTGTACCTGCAAGGCACTCTGATGGCAAAGTAAGAATTAGGATAGGAGAAGGCAAGTACAAGTAAGAATGTCTTAAGGTGATTTTGAAATACCTGACCCTCTCAAAGGAGAGAGTATTTATAATACCCCCAATATTTGGCCATTGGTCCCTATTTTTAGGCCTAGATATTTGCTCCCCAAAAAAAGGTAACTTCGAGAAACTAACCGTTATGACGGGAGGACATGCTCGGAACGAGCCGTTGCTTTAAGCATGGGTGTGGTTATGGGCAAGCGCGTTGTGGCCATTCCTGGATGGTTGAACCGTGTGTAATGGACAGAGATGTGACGAAGGGTAGCTGATTCCGGGGGTCAGCTGGCCATCCCTCCTCGGTTAAGGGGCAGATGAAAAAATGCTTTCCTTTGCCCTTAACTGGCATGGCTTAGACTATTGGACCGTTATGGGTGCAAAAGTGGTTTGGGTCATGCCTAGCCATTGGGTCAGTCCGAAACAATTAACTAGCCCTAAAATTATGAAAAATGACATGTTCATATAGACTTGGTAAATGAACAATCACCGTTGGATTCTGATCCAAGTAATGGATTATCCATGGTTAAGAATTAATTTAATCCTTAGTCGCAAATCACCAATTTCAATCCTTGGATTAATTGATAAGAATGGTTAGGATCGAATGAAAAAGTGGAAATTGAGATTTGTGTTAATTTGGAAGTTAAAGAATTCAGGGGTAATTAGGTAAATGATGGATTGTGGAAAAATAGGTAGTTAAGGATAATTAGAGACCAATGGCGTTGGAGTTTAGCAAAAGTACCAAGTTTGGATGTAAGGAAAATGGTCACTAGTAATTAACTTGAATTTGAATGCTTTTGTCTTGTTTTTTCTACCACTTTTGTCTTGAATTTTTAGTGAACCGTCCCATAATTTTAAGTGCCTTTAAGAAGCAACTTTATGTTGAAAAAAAGAACTTTTGAGTGGTGTAAACTCATGGATCAAATTCTTTTCTTTTTTTTGGTATGAATCAAAGTTGGAAAGTGAAGAACAAACCATAGATGTGAAGCTTGATAGAAGATGAAATTTGTTGGAAATTAACACTTGACATAATCGTGACACAATCCATTTGTGATAAATGATGATGAATCCCTTGATCAAATGCTTGTAGAAGTGGTCTAGGAAAATTCAGGAGTCAATAGTCGACAGTTGACCAAAAATTTAATTGTGTGACCAAAAAGTCAATTGTAAGATATACTTTTTTTTACTCTTTTTCCTTGAAATACATTATTTTGATTTGTATCTCAAGAAATATGCAATGTACTATGAATTTCTAATAAATGAACGAAATATTCTTTTTGTTTCAACTTTTCCATTTTCTTTGAATTCAAGCAAACCTCTGAATTAAGTATCTGGATTATCTGTACCTCCGAAGAAGCGCATACCACAACAACAACAAAGGGGTGAGAAAACATGATCAAAATTACCGGTAATAAGATACATGAAATAAAGGTAGCAATCATATAAAATATCACCCAACATGCATCAACCACGACCTACTATCCAATCATCAAACACAACACACAATAATGCAAATATGCAACTCAACACCATGCATGCGGTACCGACTCATTGGTTCATTCAATCGAACCTCGAATAGATCACATACACCCCTCCTTGGAAATGATCTATCCCCACCATTCTCCACAAAGGAGTACGGATGAATCGCATACACTCCTCCTGAGCAACGATTTCATCCCACCATAACACCATGATATGCACGACACCAAATGCACAACAATTAACTCAAGCACACTAAGTGCACACGATCCTCCTGATCACATCACCATATATATATATATATATATATATATATATATATATATATATATATATATATATATATATATATATATATATATATATATATATATATATATATATATATATATATATATATATATATATATATATATATATATATATATATATATATATATATATATTATACACCAATTAATCATACAATTAAATCAAATATCATGGGAATTCATATTCTAACACCCAGTATACACTCTTCACCACCAAACATCAGCATTGGTTGGAAACCACAAAAATCAAACAATATTGTCACGCTCGCCACCCTGCTCGCTTAGCGAGGCTCTAGCGAACGTTCGCTACCTGCTCGCCTAGCGAATATGCTAGCGAAGGCAGACAGTGGCTATTGGAAGTGTTCGCTACCTAGCTCATCTAGCGAGTCCCTAGCGAATGCTCGCTACCCTGCTCGCCTAGCGAACCTGCTAGTGAGCGTCTGCGTACTCAAAATCCTCAACTGTCCAAAATGTCACTTTGATTAATTACAAACCTATCATTCTTCATCTGCCTTCCATGCTATCAGTAATACAACTAATATACACTATTCGAATCATTATTCCTTAATTTTTCTCTCCAAAACCCATATTCATGTTCAGGGCCGGCCCAATCAATCTGGAGGCCCTGTTTTAATTTAATAAATAGGCCTAAATCTAAAATATATATATAATTTAATAATAAAAAAATACACTAAAAATTCAAAGTATTGTTTAAACTAATAATATCTTTTTATACAATATAAAGTTTCTAACTACTTAAAAAGAGCCTTCCTCCTAACACTTTTTGAAGCAAATTCATCAACCAAATCTTCATATTTTACTGTCTCCAAAAGATCATTTTCAACTGCTATCAACGCCAATCCGTTAAGTCTTTCTTGTGACATGGTAGACCGCAAGTAAGTCTTTAACAACTTTAATTTTGAAAAGCTTCTTTCTGCAGAAGCAACTGTCACAGGAATAGTCAACAAAATTCTATATGCAATAACTGTATTAGGAAAACAATACAAGCCTTTTGAAAATAATAATATATCAGTAGGTCTTATGATTTCTTCAGGCAACATTTGTCTTAGTAACTTTAATTCCTCAAAAAATTCATTCCCGTCAATGTCAGATTGCTCATTATGTTTCAGTACTCGTTCAAAGTTACTACAAAAAGACTTCAAAGTTGCATCATCCAATGATTGTAACTTGTGAGAAGTAAACAAGAAACCAAAAATACTTTCATACTCTTGGTATTGCTCAAATCTCTTATTAAGAGAAACAACAGCTTGATCAACAAGGTAAAGAAAATAATTAACCCTGAAAGATTCCTCTTCAGATAGCTCGACTGCTGGTGTATTCAAATTCTCATCAAACTGTCTTTTTCTTTTAATTATACGCCTTTGAGGAAATATTGGAGCGATATTCAATTCAACCGCAATTTCCTTAGCATTAACCAATGCCTTATGAAAACCTGTTTCTCTATATCCTTCAAAAAATGAAATCAACTCCTTTATTTTTTCCATAGCAACATCAATAAGCATATCCTTTTCCTGTAAAAGCTTGCTAACAAAATTAATTGCAGATAATATTTCAAACCAAATAATTATAGCCATCAAAAATTCAAAATCACCAAGCTCATTAGTTGCTAAGGATTTAGCTTCATTTTGTATCTTAGGATCGAGATCATGTTCTGACACTTCAAGTAAAGCTTCTGTAAAATCTGACATTTGAGTTCTTATAGCTTTGACACTTTCAACACGACTTTCCCAACGAGTGGATGATAATGATTTTGGAGTCAACCCTTTTACATTATCTTTCAAAATTTGCCATCTCTTTGTTGAATTAGCAAAAATTGTGTAAATGCGTTGAACAACTCCAAAAAAATTCCTAGCTTTATTACAAGAGTTAGCCATATCACACAATGTCAAATTAAGACTATGACAACCACAAGGAGTATAAAAAGCTCTTGGATTTATGTCTAAAAATCGCTTTTGTACACCTTGATGTTTTCCTTTCATATTTGACCCATTATCATAACCTTGTCCTCTTACATCAAATAGGTCGAGACCAAGTTCTTTCAATTCATTTTGTAAAACATCAAAAAGCCCTTGACCAGTTGTATCATTCACATTCAAAAATCCTAAAAATGATTCCTCAATGCTAATAGAAGTTGAAGAAACATCCACATATTTTATTATCAAAGACATTTGCTCTCGGTGACTAACATCCGGAGTACAATCAAGTATTACTGAGAAATACTTTGCTTGTTTGATTTTTCTAATGATTTCAATTTTAATTGCAGAACCAAGTAATGAAATCAACTCATTTTGTATTTTATGTCCAAGATAATGAGTGTGAACTTTTTGAGTTGTAACACGTCTAACATGTTCTTGGATAATTGGGTCAAATTCAGCTAACATTTCAATCAAACCCAAAAAGTTGCCATTGCTATCTTCGTACAACTTTTCCTTAGAACCACGAAATGCCAAATTATGTTTAGCAAGAAATTTCACTATTGAAATAACTCTTTTTAAAACATTTTTCCAGTGATCCTTTTCTTTCTCAATTAATCTTTGAGTCGTTTTATCAATAGTTTGAAATTTCTGCAACCTTTGACGATACTCATACCAAGTAGTCATATTCTTAACATGTTCCATGCCTAACTCGTGCTCTTTAATTCTTGCACCAACATGTGACTAATCACTATAACCCTCATTTGCTAATTGTCCCCTACCAATCCCATTTTTTAAAACTTTACAACAGAAACAAAATACTCTATCAAGCTCTTTTGAATAAACAAGCCAATCTCTATCACACTTCTCTCCATTTGCTAAAGCTCTAGTATACAAATTAGTCGTAAAGCGTCGATTCCAATTATCTCTAGGACCCCTCACAATAGAATTATCCCGTTTAGGCCCTTTCATAACTAATAAATCAATCATTTTAGGTTGAAGACGATCCCAATTTCTTGGATCAAATATATCGTAATCAACATCATCATCATCATCATCATCATCATTAACTTCCTCAAGATTATCATCATCATTATTAACTTCATCATCGATAGGTACACTATCAGCATTATCATTTTCAATAGGCACACTATCAACATTATCATTTTCAATGGGCACACTATCAAGAATTTCAACATTAGTATTATCAACATAATGACTTTCATTTGGAACTTGTGGTTCTTTTATCAAAAATTTATCAAGAGCTCCTGCTTGAGATTGAATTAACTCTTCAATTTTTTTCCTTTTCTTACGTTTATCATTTCCACATTCATACTTTCTATTCTTAGGAGGCATAATAGGAGGCATAGTAAAAAAAAACCTGGAATATCTCACAATGTCTTGTGTCCGCCAATGATCAACTCTGCAATATTTACTAGCAATCGATCTATTTGTAGCCTCGTTGTTAAATTAAGTTCCTACAATAAATTATTAATTAGTGCAAGCAAAAATAGTACCAGAAAAAAAAAACATGTTTGTAATCATCATAAAATGGGATTATTATTTATTAATAATACTTTAATTATATTATCACTATTTTTACTAACACTAGAAAATAAAATGCTCCAAAATTAATTATTTTTAATTTAATCTTACTGTTGTTGATATTTTCTATTACAATTAATTCTAAATTTTAGATTCTATCATAAACTATTGTCTATTGAGATAATTGAATGAGTCACACACATAGAAATGACATACTCTTGACACAACAATATAAAAAGCACTTCTTTGACAGCTTGCAATCTTTCTATCACACTTCTTTGACAACTTGCAACCTTTCTACTTTTCAATTAGTTTTTAATATGAACTAATCAAAACTCAAAAGTATAAAGTAATAAAAAAATACAAAATAATCTCATAACTCATTATTCTACTTATACCATTTATTTGACAGCTACTACTCGGCACTCACTATTCTCTATTCATTTCTCCATCTCTATTCTTTTCTTCTTTCTTCTTTGAAACCTAACTTAACCCATTTCTTCTTTTCTTTTTACAGTAAAATTAACTCAACCAATTTTAGAATTTTAGGAGAAAAAAAACACAATAGAGCCATGGGAGAAAGAATCATAAACCAAGAAACACATACAAGTTTCTATCTATGTATGTTCTTTCTTTAATTTTATATTTTTTTTCTTTCAAAACATGAAGATAAACTACTTTGATTTGAACAAACTTACCGATTAAACTGCACTGCCGTCGTCTCACACTCTCACCGTCGCCGTTTTGTTTTTTTCTTTCTAATATTGTTTTGTTTTTGGTTTATTATGTGATGTATATAAACAACTTTGTTTTGGGTTTCTTTAATGCCGACGTTTCATTTTCCTTGGCGTCTTTTCGGTTTTAGGTTGCGTTTGGAATGAGGAAAAATAATATATATTTTAAATTTTTTCATATTAATTAGATTTCAAAAAAAAAAAAATAGGCCCCCAAAATTTTGGGGCCCAGTTCCATAGAGCCTGTTGCGCCTGTGAAAGGCCGGCCCTGTTCATGTTCATCCCAATACCACAGAGTTACACAGAACCTCACAAGAACTACAACTCTTCTACACAAAATCTCACCATTCACATAACAGCATATGCACAAATTCATCATAACAGCAACAATCATAAACATGTCAACAATACCAATCATATTCATCAATTCCCTACGGGGTTAAGGAATCCCCTCTATCCAATTCATGTAAAATACCAATCCCAATCAGTTTCTCCCCCTTACCTCGATTAATTGCTCAGATTGTTGAAGAACTCTGAAGAATGGGTAGCCCTAGCCTTGCTTCTCTTCCTCCTTGCTCTTTTCCTTAGTCTTTTCTCTCCGCTGGTTTTATCGTGAAATTCTAACTCCTCTTTACCCCAAAACTCTTCTTATATTTCTAAATCCTTATTTTACTTATTTCATCCACTAATAATACAAATAATAATAATAATAATAATAATAATAATAATAATATTACTACTAATTATTAAATTATCATCATTATTAATTATATTATCTTAATATTAAACTCTATAGCTTATTAAATAATTCTTATAAATTAAGGACACCCACCAACACGCTCAGACACACCCCCACATAAGGACACACCAAAATAAAATAACACCAAAAAGACTAAATAATTAAAATGAGTGTTACAGAGCCAACCATGATGCGCCACATGGTGCAGAGAGAAAAGGAAGAAAGAGAAAAAAAACTGCCATGGACACGTGGCGTACAACTGTGCATTCTAAATTTTATTCACATTTGTTCACCAATTAATTGCACACAATCTTGAATTTTGATATATTAAAAATTATTAAATAAAAAATTAATATGCAAATCATATATCACCAAACTTAATTTTTCGCAAGGAATCCAAATATACGATCAAATTTTGTAAATGACCAACGAATATTAAAGTATTGGGTGAAAAGGTGAAGAACAAAGTGTACAACGAATCATCGATTCACATTCCTTATAATGATTCGTGAAAAAGTAATCACATATTCAAAATCATGACAAAAAATCGCTTCTAATGATATATTTACATGTAATTAAAGTTTAAGAATTAGAAAAGCATTATTTTCTAACTTATGTGTTTCATGCAAAATTAAGTGATTATCTTATAAGCAATTCCAAAACAGTGCTTAAGTTAAATCAACCAGAAAACATCTAATATTTCATGGCAAGAATATGGAAGAGATAAAGGATTATCTTTAGAGGGGAGGTTTGCTCCGATTATTGTTGAAAATTGGAGTGTCAAAGTGAAATACAGAAAACTTCAAGGATAAGCTCCATTAATCCAATTAAATTCCAAGAATTAATGATTATTTTTTATGATTGATGAACGTACAAGATGAATCTTGAATATGGAATATTGATCAAAAGTCTTGAATTAATGAACTTTGAGTGATTATTATTGACAAAACTTGATAAACTTTAGATGGTGATTATTGATGATACTTGATAAACTTTAGATGATGATTATTGATGAAACTTAATAAACTTTAGATGATGATTATTGATGATGATGCTTGAATTGTTGATAGATGATTTGTTAAAGTTGGATTATGTCTAAGTTCCACAATTTTAGAACTTAAATGTGAAGTTCTAAATGGTGATGAAGATGAACTTTGGTGAGGGTGAGAGAGAAGTTGAATTGAGAGAGAAATTGAGAAGAAAAAATGGTGGAAAAAATGGTTAACTGTGAATTTTCTAAGTTAGGTTAGTGTCATACCCCAAATTTTGATCCTATATGTCATCATCATTCTAGGAGCATCACACATTGCATTACTAACCCTAATATAGTTCAAATTGGTTTTTGTCTTGCTTCATCTGAAATAGGGTTTTGAATCAAGAAGATCTTTATTTGATCAGTCAATATTTTGGATTGATCATCAATATACGAAGTGTTTATACACTCAATAGGATTCTATCCATTAATAATCAAGTGCAAATTGGTCTCACCACAAGTTCTTTGAAGCTCAATTTCATCTGACCCCAAATTAGGGTTTTATCAGCAAAAGTGAATTGTGCCTTTGACTTTTGACCAAAGCATGATCCAAAGCCTTGGAACATGATTAAAGACACTCAAATACATCATTTGATTCCATCCATGATGTTTTAAAGGTTCAAGAATTCAATATCATTGAAGATCACACAGTTGAATTCATCTGATACAAAAGCTTTATCTGACAAAGTCAACACTTTGACTTTTGGGATTTTTGGTCAAAATTGAATCCCTCAAGTTAAATTTCATGGAAACATGTTTGATTAATGAGTTTTAGCATGAAAAATAAATAATTGGAAGGTTTCTTGCAAAAGGGGCAAAGTTAAGAAACTTGAATTTTTTTCTAAGTGTGGGAAAAAACCCTAATTTTGTGCCAACTTTAGAGAGTCATAACTTTCAATCTAGACATCTATTTTTTGTGTTCAAAAGATAAAATTGAAGCCCTTGCAACATACTACGAAATTTTTAATTTGGGTTAGTCTCCAAAAAGTGCATAGATTTTGAGTTAAAGAGCCATCAAGTTTGTGAAAAAGTTTCAACACTTAGAAATGTTTCAAGACAAATTTTATTCATCAAAAGCACCAAACTTTGGAGCTAGTTTTCACTATGCTCCCTTAAGATTCAAGAAATTAATCAAACATGAAAGTTGTAGAGTATGTTTGGAGATTTTCAAAAAGTACAAGAATTCCTCCATAGCATTTTTAAGCTAGGAGTTTCAAAGAGAGCAAGATGGCCTTCCATACTTGAAATTTTAGCCATTTCCATCAAGATGCAAGTTGCAAATTCAAATCCAATATGATAAATATTTGATTACAAGTCTTGAAACTTGTAAATCTATCCATAATCAAAAGTTTACACAAAATAATGGAGCATTATCCAAGTGATTATGACTTTGTTCAAAAGTTCATTCTATTTTTGGCACAAAGGCAAGACTTCCATTTCCATAAAGGCACCTTTATCACAATGTCAACTCTCCTTGAGCTTCTAAATGGTTTTATTTGCACAAAAAGTTTCCTTTGGACATGAGAAAAGTGTCTGATATCTCAACAAATTTAGGAAAGCTTGTACCTCATCTTGGAACTCCACATTTCTAAAACTATCCTTGAAATTCAACCAAACCAAGTGAATTATGCCATTGAAATTCTGCAGAGCAAGAAGACTCACTCTTTCCCTATAAATAGAGGCTCATTTCAAGCCTCTAACATACATTAAAAAATCAGTAAAGTACCCCTCAAAACCTCTCAAACCATAATCTTGCACATTGCTTCTTTTTGTGCCAAGAAACTTCACCTTGCACAAACTTGCAATCTATCCTCTACAAACCTCAAACCACTGATCCAATCATTCGAAAAAATCACAAATCATCCCTTGAAGGTGTCCAAACATTAATCTTCACCCCAAACCATCAAAATCAGAAAGTCAACCCTTAAAACCTCATTTCTTTGACTTTTTGCATTTTTCAAGCCAAGTCTTGATTATGACCATTTCTAAACACTACAACACTTCAAACACACCCTATAAGACATCCCTAAGTTGTCCTAAACATGTTGTGCAACTATAACTTCATTTATTTGAAGTTTCATTTTGGTCACTTTTGACAATTTTGCAAGAAAGAGACGTTTTTTGTTCCAGTGGTTTTCTTTTGATTCCAAGCATCCAAAAAGGTTCTTAGAGGTACATTGGAAGTGTCCAAAGCATCAAGGAATTTTTGTAACAACTATCTTGAAGGTTCCAAGTGTGCTTCAAGAGGTAAGTTTCCAAAAAATAATGAATTTGTTGAAATATGCATGACTTTGATATATACTAG